GGATATCTGGCAATGTCTGGAGTCATTTTGGGTTGTCAGAACTGGGTGGGGAGTTCTGCTGGCATCTGATGGTGGAGGCCAGTGATATTGCTGAACATCCTGCAATGCACAGGGCAGTCCTGCACCACAAAGAATTATCGGCCTCAGATGTCCACAGTGCCCAGGTGGAGAAATCCGTGCCACGGGCCTGCACCACTTTTCTCCCCATTTTATAGATGAGAAACAGGCTCACTGGAGATCACTGACAGTCTAGTTGGCGAAGTCAGGATTTGAACCCATGTGTGTCTATGTATAATATGGCCACTGTGCGTCACTTCCCTGCCTAGGTTCCATGAATGGCACCACACTATCTAAAGAGTAAAGCCAAGTGCCTCCAGCTGACCTCAGGTCCTTTAAAGACTGTGCCCTCACTGTCCCGACAGGTGGTTAGGCCAAAATGTGTGTTGAGTCAGCCTGAGCTTTCAATTCTCTTTCTCTGCCCACACTATTCCTTCCAATCATTCATATATGACTGACTTCAATGTCTCCGCCCTCTGAAATTCTCCTCTGCTCCTCTAAACCTAAGTCAGCAGAACTTTACCTGCATCTGCTGGTCTTGTGGAATCATCCCTGTGTGTATACTTACTTATTAGCGTAATCATCAGCCTGTCTCCTGTGTGCCAGACACTGCCTATACCCTGAGCACATTTTCTCACGAAATCCCGCAGTGACCCTGCAGGTGGGCCTGATAAGCCTTCTTTTATGAATGAGGAAGCCGGGGCTCAGCTGAGTTAAGTGACTTAGCCCAAAGCACAGCACCAAGAAGCACAGAGTGTGGATGGGAACCCATCGCTGCTCATGAAGCCCATAGGCCTTACTCGCTAATGGTCAGCAAGCAGGTGTGATCAAGCCTCTGCTCTCAGTGCCTGCCTCTAGTGCTTGAAAGGTGCTAAATTGGGAAGGACACAGGCTTTTTGGCAGGTCCTCCCTGGGTAGACGTCCTAAGGGGACGTTTCCTGAGTGCCAGTCATTCATCAGTCATGGAGCTGGGTAATGAACATAATCAGAATCATTTAATTCTCAAAGCAATCCTATTGGGTAGATATAATTACTAATTTCTTCTTGTTAACACAAAAGGATTGTGAACATTCAGCCTTACTTAGGATCCCAGATGGGGCACCTGGTAGAGCCAGGTTTTGAACCTGTGAGATTCCTCTAAGATTATTTTCCTCTATTATAAGGAAGCAGGTTTTGACTGAGTAAGGGGAAAAAATTTCTAGCCATTAGAGCTGTCCAAGAGTGAAAAAGATTCTTTCTGGAGGTATGGCACTCTCTGGATCCTGAGGATAATCAATAAACGGAGGGGTGCTCACCTGTCAGAGAGACTTTGAGGTTTGCTGAGACAATGGCTGGCTAAAGAGCTGTCCATCTCTTCCCTGTGGATGTGGTCAGAGGAAGGGAGATCTCGTATCTCTTTCCATAGTGTTCCCTGGAGAGGCGGTAGTCAGGGTGCCAGGGTGACTGGGGCACCAAAAGGAATTTTGACAAGTGGCACCTACTTGGGCCTTTTCCTTTCCCTCAGCAGGCCTGCCAGGGTTAAGAGCTAAGGTTCTAGTTTGGTTCAGAGAGAAGTTGTATCCTACTTACGTCTCTTGTCCAGCCTACAAGCTCCAACCCAAAGCACAGGGTTCTCTGCATCTGTGGTCCCCAGTGTTTGTGGCACCAGGAAGACAATTTTTCCATGGACTAGGGTTGGGGGGGATGGTTTCAGGATGATTCAAGTGGATTACATTTATTGTATGCTTTATTTCTATTATTATTATATTGTAATATATAATGAAATAATTACACAACTCACCATAATGTAGAATCAGTGGGAGCCCTGAGCTTGTTTTCTGCAACTAGGCGGTCCCATTTGGGGGTGACGGGAGACACTGACAGATCATCAGCAGTAGATTCTCATAAGGAGCATGCACTCTAGATCCCTCACATGCACAGTTCACAGTAGGGTTCATGCTCCTATGAGAGTCTAATGCTACCACTGACCTGGCAGGAGGTGGAGCTCAGGTGGTGATGTGAGTGATGGGGAGTGGCTTTAAATACAGACGAAGCTTCCCTGGCTCATCTGCCATTCACCTTCTCCTCCTGCTGTGCTGTGCGGCCAGTTCCTAGCCGGCCATAGGCTGGAACCCAGGTCCAGCGGTTGGAGGCCCCTGCTCTGCACTCTGGTCTCAAAGCTGCCGGGGGACATGGCCCCTCTGCTTCCAGTAAAGAGTGCTTGGCTCCTCATGAGGAAAAGCAGCTGTTTTCCTGGGTCCCGGCCAACAAGCCATATTAACATCAATTTTCCACACATTATTTTCAATGCTCCCCAACTCTAAGATTCTACAATATTGGGAAATCCCACTCTGATGTTTTTTTAAGGCAGAGTCTTCCTGTGTTGCACCAGGTTGGAATGTAGTGGTGCCATCTTGGCTCACTGCAGCCTCCACCTCCCTGGTCCAAGCGATTTTCCTGCCTCAGCCTCCCGAGTAGCTGGGATTAGAGGCACCCACCTCCACGCCAGGCTACTTTTTTGTATTTTTAGTAGAGATGAGGTTTCACCATATTGACCAGGCTGGTCTCAAACTCCTGACCTCAGGTGATCTGCCCTCCTGGGCCTCCCAAAGCGCTGGAATTACAGATGTGAGCCACTGTGCTTGGCCCCTACTATGACTTTTCTTTCTCTTTTGGAGGTAAGGAGCTCCACGGATCCTACCCAAGGATGCTGTCACTGACATGACTGAGGAATTGCAAATGGGGGAGGTTAATTCTTAAATTTATGCAGCCCGTGGATAAATATGAGTATTTTTCAGCACAGCTTTTTTACTAAATCAACTGTTTTCAGTATGAAAAACAGAATAAATTATTTGCAGAAGCCTGTTGTCCTTTGGGTCAAAGAATAAGCCTGCCAAAAATATTTGAGAAAAAGATTTACACTAGTACATCACAGGTGGTGTTCTTTCATTCCATTACTTTGTCTCCACGCCAAAGGCCCAGATCCCGCCCCCCCCATCATTTGCTTCTTCTTCTTCCAAGAAGCATCCCCCTTGAAAATAGCATCTGGATCTTTAAGCAGAAAACTCAGAAGAATTACAAATAAAATAAAATAGTTTACTTGTGAATCAGCAGGGACCACTCCATCCTTGGGGCTTTTTGCCAAGCTATCATCTTTGCTGCACCGACGCATGAGGAATGACTGCCAATAGCCTTTCTGTTGGCAGGGGTCCAGTCACGTTTAGGGCTACTGCTTGCCAAGGTCTTTTCTGTGATTGATTACATACGATTAAGAGCCTCTGGCTGATGCCTATGTGCTCTGGTTCCTACGACATCGTGGACCCTCACATTCCTCCTCCGAGCATATATATCAGAGGAAACAGCCAAGAAGAAATGAACAAAGCGGGAACACCGCACAGGGGCCTGTCTTACCCAGCCTCGCAGCAGCTCACAGGTAAGCCTGCAAGACATTAGCTCTTTTCATTCAGTGAGCAAGTTCCTATTTTCTTTGTATTCTAAAAATGCAATGTATAATAATATGTTTTTGAGGAATTCAGGAAAAATAATTGAGATAAAGAGCAGAAAATTGTTGCTTGACTACAGGGTGATAAATAATACTTATTTGCACTCACAGAGTACAAACGGCTCTCATCATTCATTCATTCAACAAACATTCATTCAACACCCATTATAATCATGCACTGGGACACCCACAATGAATAAGATACCACCATGCCCTCAAGAAAGGTACTTTTCATGGGCATGAATATGCATGTATGCAAATTACTTAAACAACATTAAAACTGTAGCTTGTGGGAGAATCTGGCTGTTTGCCTCTGTCGGCGCTGTGCTGGGCACTGGTGCTATGGAGCCAAGTCTCAGGCAAACCAGGTCTCCCACCGTCCAGGAACCCAGGAATCCTAAAACTCCAGCTCCGCAAAATAGACAGAAAGGATATTATTATTCCCGTTGTACCAATGAGGAAACCATGGTCCTGAGACATGGTGAAGTGACATCCTTTTCAAATGATACTTGTACAAAGAAATATACCTCAAAATTAATTTTAGTCAAAATGCTTTCTTTTTTTCTGAGACAGGGTCTCACTCTGTCACTCAGGCTGGAGTGCAGTGGCACCATCATGGCATGGCTCACTGCAGCCTTGACATCCCAGGCTCAGGTGATCCTCCTGCCTCAGCCTTCTAAGTAGCTGAGACTATAGCAGAGTGCCACCATGTTCAGCTATTTTTTTTTTAAAAAATGTTATTATTTGTAGAGATGGAATGTCTCTATGTTTCCCAGGCTGGTCTCAAATTCCTGGGCTCAAGAGATCCTCCCACCTCAGCCTCCCAAAGTTCTGGGATTACAGTGCTGAGCCACTGCACCCAGCCTAGATACAACACTTTCTGCTCAAATAAAAATATGTGTTATTACAGCTGCCAAGCAGCCCCATTAATCATCTTCAGCTAGTAAATTTAAATGCAAGAAAATAAAAATACATATTGAACGTCTCATTTTTTAGGACACCGAGTTACATATTCAGGGAAGATGTGAAACAGAGAAAAAAAAGAAGTAGTGTCTTCACCTTAAAAGATTTTTCGGCCAGCTAGAAAATCAGACACGGAGGCCTTGTGTTGTGGGTTCAGAGGGGACAGTGTTTGAAACCACGAGGCCAGGGTGCTTTGCTGTTTGACCTGTCACTGATCCGCTGTGGGCCTTTGTGTAAGACCCTCCCCCTCTGGGCCTCTTTCTTTTCTGCACAGTGAGGGGGTTGAACCAGAAGGGTGCGCCTAGGTGGCACACAGGCATCGGGACTGAAGCCCGGGGCGCGGTGACTCCCCCAACCGTGCTCCTTCCCGCGCCACGGGCCCTGCCGACCCAGCCCGCCCGGGTGCAGCGTGAGCCCCCGCCCCGCCCCGCCCCGCCCCGCCCGGGTGCAGCGTGAGCCCCCGCCCCGCCCTGCGTGCCCCGCGCAGGCGCCGTCTTACCCAGCCCCGCAGCAGCTCGTAGGCGGTGACGCCCAGGGACCACCAGTCGACAGGGTACGAGTATCCGGGGCCTCCGTCCAGGTACACCTGGAATACTTCCGGGGCTGCCAACGACAGGACAAAGAGAACATCACTGTGGGTCCCAGTTTACGGCCACCAATGTCCCCTTAGGGCAGGGACAAGGAGAGACATCGAGCCTTTTTTTTTTTTTTTTTGATACAGTCTTGGGTGCAGTGGCGCCATCTCAGCTCACTGCAACCTCTGCCTCCCGAGTTTAACGATTCTCCTTCCTCAGCCTCCCAAGTAGCTGGGATTACAGGCGTCCATCACCACGCCCGGCTAACGTTGATATTTTTAGTAGCGACAGGTTTCGCCATGTTGGCCAGGCTGGTCTCAAACTCCTGACCTCTGGTGATCTGTCCTCAGCCTCCCAAAGTGCTGGGATTACAGGCGTGAGCCATCGCATCTGGCCAGAAATCTAGCTTTTTTGGACAGTGAAACCTGTATTTTTTCCACTATGCCACATGGTTTGTACCCTCGGTAAGTCATAAGCTGCCTGCGAACCAGTTACAGGAATCACAGGAAGCACTGGAGCGACACTGGCGAGCGGAATGCAGGTGGGAACCCCCGAGGGTGTGAGGAAGGGCCATCCACTCCGTGAAAGTGAGGACATGCCCCTGGAGGGGGTGGATTGGTGGAGCATGTTCGCTGGAGAACGGGTGGGATAAACCCAGAGTGAAGAAGGGGAACAGAGCCCCCAAGGCGTTGAGAACCTTCATAAATGGATGCTTACAGCTCTCTGTGCCTGGGGCCTATCTCAGGGACTACTTTATTTTAGCATAGGTGATATCTAACATGAAATACCCACAATGGGTAAATCCGCAAGACGAAAACAGATTGGAGGTTGCTAGGGCTGCAGGTGGGGAGGGGGGGGTGGGAGCACCTGCTTCACGGGCACCAGTTTTCCTTGGGGGTGATGAAAACAAATGGGTTGGAACTAGACAGAGGTGGTGGTCACATAACACTGTGCATGTACTAAATGCTACTGAGTTGTTACTTTAAAATGGCTAATTTTATGTGATGTGAATTTCACCTCAATAGAAAAATAATGCGAAGGGGATGGAGGACCCTTATTCTTCAGGGGACTGAGTTTGTCCTGGGGTTCTCATCCCTGACCACTCTCCAAGGGACTGAGTGGTGGGTTAACCTCACCCCGCCGCACCCCCGTCACTAGGCCAGGAGTGCATTGTAGGGTCTAATTGTCTATGTTGTCTTCCAGGAAAATTTTGTGAAATGTTGATTATTTCTAGCAAATTAATTTGCAGTCATAATTCCATTTTACAGTTGTCAGAGCAGCTGAAATCTGTCCCGGGGAGGCACAACATGTTGTGATTAAAGCTGCCTCGGCTCAGTTTCTAGATGGGCATTCGCTCGGCATGAAAATAAAATGAAGGAATTGACCTGGGGCTGCTGGATGGGCAGCTCCGCACTTCAATTTGACCAGCAGCCACATTCTAGCTGCCCCCTGGCGATATTCTCCATTTGGTTCACACTTCCTAAGTGCACTTTCACCCACGGGTTTCCTTTCCTCTTCACAACAGCCTCTGGGGACATGTTTACAGAGGAGGTTCAGAGAAGGCCAGCAGGATGAAGAGGTCACACAGCCAGGAAATGCAAAGCTGAGATGCACCTTACAGGTCTGCTGAATTCCTGTTTGAAGTAAGGTTTGTCTCAGCATTTCTTTCAGTACAAACACATACTCAGTGCCACATGGTGGAATGATGCAACTGGGAGTTTGAGAACTTGCCCCTCAGGTTACTTGGCCCTTACAAAGGAACAGGCATTGTGCCCTGGGAAACAGGAAGACTGCTGGGGCGGGCGGAGTTACTTGTTAATAATAAGCTACTTACATTCTCTTTGCCTTGGTTTTATAGAATGTGGATAATAATAATAATGGTTTATTCATTGGGCTGTTGTGCTGATTAAGTAGATTAAATAAGATAATATACTCCAAGAGTTTGGCAGGATGCCTGGCCCGTAGCGAGTGCTCCATGAACATTACATATTATTAACAGTCAAATCATCACTCCAACCTCCTCTTCCTCTGCCATGCTTAGCCTCCCCACCGTCCAGCAGTTACCCAAACCAGAGATCTGGGAACCCTCCTAAATGCCGTCCTCCACAGCCTCATGAATGATTGGTCTCCAAATTCTGTGTGTTTTGTATTTTCAGCATCTTTTCGTCTGCCTCTTCCTATGGGTGATAAATCATCCTGACTTCAAAGTCAGTGATCATACTTGTTCATTAAGCATGGGGTGAGTGAATATTTAATGCCTTCCTTGTAAGCCTGGCACTGAGCTGTGCTATTCTGAATCCCCGCTGGGTCCCACCACTGAGCTGGAAGCTGGGCTTGAGCCTGCAGGGACTTCCTTCCCTGTACTACAGCCTGTGTGCCTGTCCCTCTTCTCAGTCCTGAGGGCTGGGGAGAAAAGGAGCCATATCATGCTTGTCTGTGTGTTCCCAGGGGCTTGGCAGCTGCTGGCCCAGCCCACAAGTTCCAATAGCATAGGGTACACTCGGGAGTGCAGAATGGCTGTGTGTGCCGAGGTGGTTCCCCATCAATCCTTGTCATGCCTGGAAGCCCCAGTCCATTCAGAACTCAGGGTAGAACTCAGCAGCAACAGAGTGATACTGTCCTGGCTGTCGTGACCAGTCAAGTGACAAATGTCTGCAGTCCTAGAGGGGATGACATTCCCTCCTTCCCCAAACACTTGGGGGATAGAACACAACAACATTGATGTCATAATTCCTACGTCACTAAAATGATGTCATTGGCTGCTCAGAATCCCAGCACTTAGATGCGAGAGAACTACACAGGTTTAGAGCTAGAAGGACAGGTGTAAGCCACCTATCTGAACAATAGCAACCGTGATTTGCCAGGTGCCATGTTAAGGATTATGTTCATTACTTCTTTAATTCCACCAGCCACTGAACAGGATAAACGCTACAATCGTCTTTATTCTTCTGATGAGGAGGCAGAGACATTAGGAAGTGTAGTGGGCTGAATCATTGCCCCTCCTCCCCCCCACCCTGTAAAAGCTATGTTCAAGTCCTAACTCCTGGGACCTGTGAATAGGGCCGTATTTGAAAATAAGGTCTTTATAAATGTAATCAAGCTAAGAATCTCAGGATAAAATCATCCTGGATTTAGATTGGGCTGCAAATCCTACAATCAATGTCTTTATAAGGGAAAGGAGACACAGAGAAGATGGCCACGTGAAGACGAAGGCGGATGGGAGCGATGTGGCCACAAGCCGAGGAAAGCCTGGCACGGCTGGAAGCTGAAAGAGGCAGCAAGGATGCTCCCGTGGAGCCTTCCGAGGGCACGTGGCCCTGCTGGCCCCTTGATATTGGACTTTTAGCCTCCACAACTGTGAGAAAATGAAGTTCTATAGCTTCAGGCCACTCAGTTGGCAGTGATTTGTTTCGTGGCCACAGGAAATGAATACAAGGGGTAGAGAACTTGCCAAGTCACCCAGCCAGCATAGCAGAGCTGGGGTTAGCACTTCCTGGTGTTCTGACTCCAGGCTCCTTCCCCCTGTACTGGGTAACTGCCAGGAGTGACTGAGTTACTCAGGGATTGGTGCCCTGGTGCACTCTTTCGCCCTCCTTCCTTCCCTCCCAGGGCCTGGTGCTCAGCCCAGTATACAGAAGGCACTTAATAAATGTGTGAATTGGCTTTTCACCTTGATGCCATAGGGCTGGTCTGCTCACTGGTGTCTGCAGCAGAGGTGGAAACAGTTCACAGCCTCTCAAGATGTCAGCATGGCAGGGGCGAAGGGTCCCTTGATACCCCACACCTCTCATTAGAACGGGACACCAGGCTGAGGAGGACCAGTGGCTTGCCTCAGGTCCCACCCAGCAGTACCTCTCAGGTCAAGTCTAGAATTCCTGGTCCTGACTCTCAGGTTCAGGGAATTCCCGTGACTGTCACAGTGACATTCAGCTGCCAACTGTGCATGATTCTGCCTCCTAATAACGTGTGTACCCTCCCTTCCTCGCCTTTGCCCACATACTGCCCATGTTCCGACGCTGATTCTTCCCTTCTAGTCTCCCGCATAGCTTCCCAGCTGGTCCTCTGGCCCCTGAGTCTCCTTCAATCTGTCCTTCACACTCCTGTCCGGGGAGTTGGTGTTCTGACATGCCACAGACGACGGTATTCCCTGCTAAAAGATCTTCCCATCATGGCGGCTGTTTCACAAACTGTGTTCCTTGCAATGCCACCAGCTCCAAGTCAGGCCAACAGAGGCAGGAGGAGAAAGGGTTCTGAGGTCCAACATGCCTGGGAGGGATGCGGCCCAGCTGCATTCTTCCCTGCCGGGCTCCTCAGAGCCTTTCGTGTACTGATGTACTTTGGTGATGTTCACAGGGACCCAACTCAAGAGCAGGCATGGCTTGGAAATGCATTTGACTTGATCCTGGAATTCTTCCTGTTTTCAATTGTTGGTGGAACACACGGTTCTAGAGCTGGGACCAGTCTGGCCCAGAGGGTGAGTTCAAATCCACGGCCCAGCGCTGTCTTGTGCTTCCCTGCTTGCCTATGGTCACCCTGGCTCCATGCTGCCTGCTGTTCCTGGGACACCCTGTCTCTGTCTCCATTCCTGCCACCCTTTCCGGACTCACAGAAGGTGCAGCCCCAGGGCTACGTCCTCCAGGAACCTACCACGTGCCAGTCAAAGCTCTTCACAGGTACAGCGGACTCCTCAGAATAGGCCTCTGCTGTTATCACTTCCTTACCATCTCCCTCCTACCCAGGCTAGATTAGGGGCTTCCTCATTCCCACCATGCTCTTCATCTCCTGATGCATTTTTGCTTACTGGTCTCCCTTCCCTCTTGACTGCAAGCTCCTTGAGGGCAGAGACTGTCATGTCTCTCTGGTGCCTCACGCCTTGCCTGGTACCAAGAAGCTACGCAGGAAAAATTTGTTGACTAACTAAATAAATAAACGGTCATAATAAAAATAGCAAACACTTCTATTGCCTTGTTGTGTGCTAAGCACTGTCTAAGCTCTTTAAATCCTGCTAATTAAAACAGTTAATCTTTA